GCGGGCTGCAGGTGGTGCTGCTGAGCCGGGAAAGCCTGGCAGGAGGAGGAGAGGGGGCCCTGGGAAACGCGTGCATTTATTCATAGCAAGTGTGCAAGGCTCACCAATTGAGAGGCAGAGGCAGCAGTAGTCAGACTTAGGTATTCTAGCCTCTCTGAATATAATTTTAGATTTAGATTCAGCTTAAATCCAAAGGGAAAACACTTTATAAGGCTGAAAGCTGTGTCGTTGCAACAGCCAGGGTTATGAGCTATCAAAGGCAATTACATTAAAATAGATTATACTGTGTAAATTGAGCCATTTAGAAGGTGAGAACCAAAGAAACAGCTCTGATCCCCCTTCTTTCTAAATTGCGGTTTTAGTTCCTTGCGATTCTGAGGCACAAAAGTAGGTGAGACTGCTTTTGTATCTCCAAAGTGCTTTATTTCTGAGTGTAATTCTAACTGAGTGCAATCTAGGTTAAAAGCTGGACAACTGGGTAATTAGAGCTCACTTGCTGCTAAAGGACGATCAGCTGTACCGTAGCTCATTTGTGTTCCCAGAGACTTGTTCTCTTCTTCCCTGAGCGGAGGCTGCTGGAGAAGAAGCATCTGTCCCTGGACTTTTCTTGCTGGCGGAGATGATGGTGCTGGACAAGGAGGATGGTAGGTGGGCTGAGATTGTGTAAGCCTGTGTTTGGTGTCTTCTGTGTGTTGCTGATATAGAAGTAAATAGTTTTTAAACAGATGTGCGCTGTGCATATCAGAGTGCTCTGCTTTCAGCTTCTGATGTTTTCCTCTTGTGTAGGTAAAAGCATGCTTGCTCTTTATTTTTCTTCTCTCTTCTCTGACATGATCGAACCAGTCAAGAAGCTTTACCCCAGGCTCTGTTTGCTGAAGGGCATAGTAGAAACAGCTTGATGTTTTTATATTTTTTTTAAATATCTATTTAGATTTTTTCAGCAAGTTACTATAATATATTCATTTTAGCCTGTTTATTTTAACAGCTTTTATTGTAGATCTAATTTTGAGATTTTCTTTCCTTTTCACTGCATGTCATTTGGGTCTCTTTAATGTGTGCCTTTAATATCTATTTCTCACAGCTTTTCTTCATAGCTATAAACATAATGACAATAAGCTAATAAGCCTCTCTGGCAAAAAAACATTGGTTTATTCTAAGAATTTACTCCCCTAATGACAGAAGTGGAGGTTCATTTGGGAGGTGTAATTTTATGAATGAAGCTGAAGGAGAACTTGACTTATTTTAGGACTTCGCATATACTTATTTTTTAAGGCTGACTAGTCCTTAAGGAGTACAAATTGATGTACTGAGTAATAGTGTTAGTTAGTAGCCCGAATGACCTGATGCCATCTTTTGCATGTTGCCTACCAGGGTGTGCAACTTAACTGCTCAGTCACCAGTAGTTTCTGGGACAAATGTGGTAAGTCTAATCACAACATTTTAGTTCGTTTGTTTTGGTTTTTTTTTACGTAAGGTTGCTTTGTGGCTTAGGTCTTCCCTCATAGCTTGTACACTGAAAGCAAAAATTAAAACTGAGACAGAGCGGAACGCTTCTGTAGCCATCCACATGGACTTCCATCGATGGCACTGCCTCTTGCCAAGACCTCCAACTTGGCAGCACTTTGTGTATTGCAAATGGGATCTGCATCTTAACTCTTAACTCAGATTTGTAGCTGTTATTATTTCATTTCACCTTTATAAATGGATGAAGTGTGCCATGTAATGGATCCTGTGATCTTTTCAAATTTCAGAAATCTCTTTAAATGCGAAAAAAATATCATAGGCAGTTGTCATTTGAAAGTAGAAGAAATTGCTGAATATTTGTAAGACTGTAGACAGGAAACAGCTTTTCACAGGGAGCAAAAGAGCTTGGAGAAATTGGAAGTTGAGTATTTTGGCAGTAGCATTGATTTTCCTTGAATATATGTATTGCTTTTTAAAATATTTATGAGAAAAAATAACTTGTAATTCAAAGTCACTTACTTTTCTGTGTCAGGGTGGTGCTAATCATGTATTGTGACTAGTACTGAAAGCTGCCCAATGCAAATAAGTTGGAGTGATATGATTCTTGATCCCGGTCCCACATCTAGTGGGAAGGTGTCCTTGCCCATGGCAGGGGAGTTGGGACTAGTTAATCTGTAAGGTCCATTCCAAACCCTAAAATTCTATGAGCCTATGATCTGTCTTTTAGTATTTTAGAACTGAATTAGTACTGTACTGGCAAATAATTAGAAAAGAAGTCTTTACTATTGAAAGACCAAAGGTCTTCTGCTGAAGTTTTGCTTATCTCTTTTTCTTTTCCTTGCCTCCCAAAACAGGGTAAGGGGGGGAATACTCTCCAGTATTTTAGACCTAACATTTTAAGGTCTTTATCTCATTATATAAGTTTGATTTCTAAAATTATCAATCTGGTGTATTCATGCATGTAGGATTTGAATCTAGTTTCTGGGGTAGGATGGAAGGTTTCATTTCATTCTGATGTGAAGCACTTGGGACAATGAAAAAATGTGGACTTTTTGCAAAGATTTTACACCTTTAAAATATGAAAACAGTCAGAAATGTATCATTATCTGTGTCCTCTTGTATGCGGATTCAATCAGATTTTGACTAAGAGTTGACCAATTTGAGATCAATGCCCATGTATAAGTTGTCTTGCCCTTCTGAATTTATTGTGCTAATTAAGTTGGCATCCCAAAACTGGGAAATAATCTTATTCGGGGGAGAAAAAAAATTTTGGGCTTTATTTCTGTTAAGATCTTGTAAGTTTCTTTGTTAACACAGTAGAACTTTACAAATAAGAAGTAGATGTGGAGCATCTGTTACACATCTTCTAGATCAGTTTTGCAGTTGACTGGCCTGTGGATAAAAGACACTAAGTGATTCAGTATTGCTTATGCTGGGAAAACAAATGTAACTAACAGGGTTTCAAAGGCTTTGAAGCAGTGTCACTCTCAGAGGTGTTCAGTTGTTTTCTTTGGCAGTATAAGTTGAAGCAAGTTAGTTTACTTTATTAGAGGCATAAGGCTACTCTTGTAACCTTCCTCTGACTAAGATGAATTTGGCTGACTGACCTTATTTCTTTCTGGACCACACGTGTTGTGCTGGTTTAGGGGTTTTTTGTTTGGGTTGTTTTTTTCATTCCTTAAGACTCATCTGTTTTAAAGGACGGCAGTATTTTCCATACTTTGTTAAATCTTCCTTTTCAATTTGTGCTTCCCCATAGAACTATGTTCTGCTATGATGGAGCAATGCAAATCAAGTAGAATAGCCCAAATTAATTCTTCACATTGGCGGCCGTGTGATTGCCTGCATGGAATCAATAATGCATCATAGAGGGATCAAATTTTGGAGTATAATGTGTGAATAATGCTTGACACAAAACAAAAATTCAGTCATCATAATAGCAATTAGGAAAAAGCTGCAGCTTATCCCAGCTGTAATCTCTGCTAACAATGAAGCACAGCCTGGTAATCAGCATGTATGGTATGAAATGCACTAATAGAAATCACAGCTCTTTGTTGTGTGTGGGGGGTGAAAGTTTCCTTTCAGCAAACTTGTGCTGTGTTAACTAGACATAGTATCCTTCAACCAAATTGTGGAGTGTGTGTGCACTTGTAAAAACACTGATCCGCTATGTGTTCAACCCGATGTTTATATAGACAGTAGTGCCCCAAATCACGAATCCTTTGTGTTTTCAAGCAGAACTCTGATTAAACAGATCACAAGAGTAGGCCAAGTAAATAATATATCAGAGGACTCTGTTAAACTTGTACCTGTATACAAGCCTTGGCCTTTATTTTTTAAAAATTATCCGTAGTTTCTTTAAAAATGGGGGAAGAAAATGGATACTCACGGGTTGTGCGCATTGGAGTTGGAGAATGGGTCTTAGTTTGATGGGAGGTATTTAGGGCAATGCATATTAGGTAATTTGAAACTGGATTAGTAGCAGCAGTTGGGTTCCCTGTTGTGTAAGAGCCCATCTTATCCCGCACAGAAGGGGAAAAAACCAAGCATTTGGAATTAGAAAAGCAGTGAAATTGATTGTATAATGGCAGTTACAGGAATTGTGCCATAGTGCCCTAGCCAGGACAGCAGAGCTGTGTTTTCATTTACAAGTGAGTATGCCAGCTGCCATATGGAGGTGCCTATAGATAGGTAGATGGATACAGAGAGAGATCTACCTCCAGCAACATAGGTCCAAACAACCCTCTAATGTCGATAAAAATCACTATGCACTCAAAAATAAGGCAAGTACGAGTTGTGCCATGTAGGAAGAAGAGCTGTTCTATATGCTGCTGCTATCTTTCGTTTTCTTTTCAGTGTACCTTTCTCAGGTATGCCTATTGAGGAATACTTCAGAGAGAGAGAAGGGGAAATGGTAGGGTGGCTTTTTCCTCACATGATATGGAATTCAGTTTTTCTTTTGCCTAATATTCCTGAAACTACCTCTTGGGGTTTTCTTCTCTTTATCTCCTGTATCTCTACCTTGGATCTACCCCATGATCACTGGTGTCTAGCTTACCATTTATAAAGCATCAGTACACATCTTCCCAGAGATCAGTTTATTAAAAGAATGTTTGATACAGGTCACCAAATACCTTTTATTTACCCATTTAGCTGTGTTACCTGTCAGTTTTTAGTGGGTTTAATCTTGGCACATGATCTTAGTGTAATTTCAGAGGTTTGGTCTGGCTTTAGTTCATTAGAGTGTCCTTTTGTGACTCAAATGTATAGCAGTGTATTAATATATTCATGAAGAGGAGACAGGAAGTTGTAAAAGCATGAATCTGAATAAAACCAGAGCACATTTGGCAGTAGAATAAACTATGAGACTCAGTTTACCCAGAGAGGGGGGGAAAAAAATTGGACTGTTTCTCCAAAGCTGACCACGTGTGGAGCTGGAGGTAGTCTTCCTGGGGGTGCTCTCTGCCCCTGAAATGGCAAATATGGAAGCATGGGAGAACCACAGGATAGTAAAGTAATTGCTTAAACCTTTTCAAGAGATGAAGGGTACTGTAGTTGAAGCACTGATAACCTAAATAACCATTTGAAGAAATTTCATCCTATGGGAAGAAGAGGAGTGGAAGGAGTTAGCAGGCCTTAGAGGAGCAAACTGCTTTTTATAGGCAATCAAATAGTTCCTAGTGTTTGTTCAGACTAGATAGCTGAAGGATCTGGGTAGGCATCTATACGGAATGTCATCATTCTTCGATCTCAGATGCCGTTGACATGTGATAATTGTCTGGTTGACATAGCAAGCATTAAAAGACTGTAGGAACATTTTTCAGTTTGAGCAATAGGTCAAAAGAAGCAGCTTGTTCTTAGAAGTTAGTTTGCTTTAAATTTGGTTTAATACAGTAGAAAGCAGAACATAATTTGTCTTCTTTGGAGTTAGTGTTAAATTTTATTATCTTTAGTACGTGAATATGTCAGCCTGTTTGTCATAGCCATTCCAAAAATGCTCTCATATGGTAGAATCTTCAGAAAAATTCCTTTTAAGAGCAGTGCATTATTAATAAAGTAATCCATTAGGTCTGGTGATAAAGGGTCACAGAAGAGTCTGAAATACGTTTCTTAAATGGTTAAGAAATTTATCATGGTTGGAGGATTAATTGATTTCATTTGGAGGCTTTCTTAAGGTTTT